CTCAGCAGGGTTTCTGCCCAATGCCAGGAACCAACAGATCGGGGATGATTAGAAATGGACCAGAGGGAGGTTGGATTAGAACAGAAAGGAGCAGCTCACAACACACGAACAGATGGGACTGGACAGACGAGGCCAAAGAAGCAGTGGTAGTGGTAGCAATAACTCAGTAGGACCTAAGGGCCTCAGCCGTGGACCAGGGTCCCACCATGCAAGGCACTACAAATAATGAACAAAGACTGCCCCTGCCTCCAAAGTTTTGTCTATGCAGCAGGCAGTGCAGCTCAGCAAGGACTGCAAAGCCTGCCCGGGAGGCTGAATGCATTGCTCAGACATTTTTTCCAGGCTGAACGTTGCACAGCTGTGACTAGCAGTCATCCCATGCCAGCTAGCGTGAAGCTAGCCCAAGCCTGTCTACACGGCACGGCCAGCAGAGCAGCGTCTGCAGAGTACATATATGCTGCAAGAGTTGTGAGTTAAGACAACCTGGGCCTGGGGGGGCATTATGAAGGCCTGGGGATGGTATAACAAACTGCACCAGACCAGAGGGGATGGGTGGGGAAAACATGTTTCACTGCTCTGGGCTGGGGCCACAGTTCACATAGCCTTGGCTCAGCCCAGCTGCCCCATCCTACAGACTCAGTGAAAGTGCATCTGGGACAAGCCCTCCACACCACGCCTACTGCACCCTCGCAGCTCCCTCCACCTGGGAAGGGAGGTGACGCCACCAGCTCCCAGTTACGCAGGGAGGAAGAAAAAACACCACCGCATGTTAATCCCTCCTGGCAAATGGCCGCAGCACTGACACCTGTATGCTTTCCCCAGGATGAGCAGGCAGGCGAGGCTCCAGACTGGGGAAGAGAGACCTTGGCAGTGTCGAACCAATGCACAGAGCTGGATGGAGCACACCTTTGGCTTTGGGGAGAAGGAAAGAGCCAGGTAACAGAGGTGCTGGGGTGTGGGGCACACCCACCCCTGCCAGCAGGCTGCTCTGCTCTGCTCAGAGGAGTATTGTTCTGGGCACTGGGCAAGCACAGGGCAAGAGAAGACCCCTGCCCCCAGCAGCTCACAGTTCAAGCCCATTTGACCCTCTGCTCAGGGACACGCTGCTTGCTTGGCAAGTTGAACAAAGGGAGCCCCTCCTCTCACCTCTAAGCCCTCTCCTTCAGGGGCACGTGACCCACATGAGCAAAAGGGTAAGGGACTGCTGGCAAAGAGATGGTGGCAACTCTCCAGGGGTAGGAAACCAGCCCAGCTGGGGTCGGGGTGCAAGGCCTACAGCAGACTCAGCATAGGACTAGGGCACAGCAGTGACCCTGGAGAAGGCCAACTGTAATGGACTCAGCCAAATAATAATGGCAATAGGTCGCTTGATTCCACCCCCCCCGCCCTGCACAGCCACATGCTCCACTGCTGCCCACAGCTTCAAATCCAAACTTACAGTCCTGGGAGAGAAAAGACAAGGCCAGGCAGTATCTCCTCACTCCCCTACCCCTGTCTCTGCCCAGCCCACACCTGGGGCACTCTCCTTGGCTTCCGCCCTGCCATCAGCCTGCTCCTTCGTGGCTCTTGCTTCCTCCTTGGCTGCAGGTGCCCGTTTGGGCTGCTTTGTTTCCGTCACTCTCAGCACTGCCAGCTCAAATCCTTCATGACGCAGAACAAAGGGAAAAGATCTCAGCCCGTACCAACCCAAGGGCCCAGCTGGCAGGCACCACACAGGGGCAGAGCCCACCTGTATGTTTGCTGTTCCTTTGTTAACGCCTGGATCTTTTCTTCCTCCGGTTTCTTTAAATTACTGCTTTTGTTTCTTGGGATTAAGGGGGGAATTCACGGTGCAGAGCTGCTGGATGCCAGCATGAAGCATCTCAGGGCAGAGCAGGTGTGCCCAGCCCACAATGACAGGAAACTGAGGCAGGGAGCGGAGGAAGGAAAGGGCACCAAGATCCACCTTGGTTTTCATGCTGTCAACTTGAGCACACAAGCCACAGGGATAAGAAATGTAAATCTGGAGGAAGCTTCTCAGCACAGCTCTGCCAACGCACCTCAGTGCCATTGTACAGATACCCCCCACTCACCTCGCTCCAGCCTGGTCCTCTGCACAGCTCCGCCAATGCCCCTCAGTGCCATCGTACAACATCCCCCTAGCTTGGCCCTTGGCACAGCTCTGCCAATGCCCCTCAGTGCTATTGTACAATGTCCCTCCAGCATGGTCCTCTGCACAACTCCGCCAATGCCCCTCAGTGCCATCGTACAACATCCCCCTAGCTTGGCCCTTGGCACAGCTCTGCCAATGCCCCTCAGTGCCATTGTACAACGTCCCTCCAGCATGGTCCTCTGCACAACTCTGCCAATGCCCCTCAGTGCCATCATACAACGTCCCTCCAGCCTGCTCCTCTGCACAGCTCTACCAATGCCTTCAGCCTGATCTGCATCTTCTCCTTCTTTGGTTATTCCAGCCCGGGATCCGACACAGCTGTCACCTCCCCTCAGTCCTACCCACTGCCATTGCAGCTCTGGCTCTCCTCACAGCCTTGGCAAGGCACCTCCATGCTGCCCTCCAAGTCCCACCTGCTAGGCCAGGCCCAAGTCTCCCAGCACAGCTGGACCAGCCTCTACTGCGCTGGCCAGCTGCACCCCAACACCCCTGTTCTGAGCCCCTCCAAGCAGCCCCAGCTCCGGTTGCACCCCCATGGCCCCTCCAGCACCATCAGTGCATTCTCCAAAGGGGCCACCGCAGCTCCCTCCTGCTGCTCCGCGTCTCTCAGCAGACGCTGCCATTCACAGGCCAGCAATGCTGATCAGTGATTCCCATGCCTAGGCGCTAGACTTGCACCGCCCTAGCTGAGCCTGACCAAGCACAGCACCCCCAAAACCAGGACAGGAGCCCCATGAGCTAGATTAACCCCTTCCTCCCTGCTGCTCTGGCCAGACCCAGCAGACTCCCAATCACTTTTGATGCCACCTTTCCCCAGCCCCTGCCTCCTGTGCCCATTTTGTAGCGGGGCCCAGTAGGAGAGGGAGCCTTGCTGCAGAGAAATAAAATGGCTTCACTCTTAGAGGCAGATGTGTGGCATATTACATGCACTGATGCTGCCCTTACCTCCGCCTAGCTAGAAAGGCCCCACCATGGTCTCCAGGGCAGTGCCCTCACCCACCCCGTGGCACGGCCTTTGGTTCTGGGCACCCTTTGCAAAGGCATAAATAGACAGGACCTTGCAAGCCAGGGGCGCCCCTTTGCATGGAGCAGGCTGAGTGGTCACAGCCTTGCACCCCACCATGGGGAGCGCTCCAGTGAACACCAAAGAATTGACCCCTGTGATAGGCAGATGCCATGCATTTGGAGCAGGATGTACATAAAGCGCCTATGGGAAAAGAGTCAGCACGGGACTTAAACCCCTCTGCCCTTCCTCCTCAGTTGGGAGGGTTATTTCAGAGACAGGTCAGCCAAGCCACCTCCCCACCACCCTGTCAGCCACAATACATCAGGCCATTCTCTGCTGGCTGTTCCCAGGCATACACAGCCAGCCAGGTGAAACCAGCAGGGCCCCATGCCAAGAGAAGGGATGTTGTCTTTTCACACAGCACCCAGTGCGGAGCCAGGCTGCAGCAGAGCCTGACTCACTGCCCGCCTCGGTTCCCACAGGAGCTGCCACGAAGCAATGCAAATTCTTTCTTTTCTGCATGCAAATGATCCTCGGGCATAACGGCCCCAGGGAGCACGTCGTGGGAGAGCCAACGAGCCCTCCTCCCCGCCTCAAAGGCAGGCGGCGCTGGCCACCCCAGCGGCCCGGAGTCCAGAGGGGGGCGAGGGCACTGGGAGGTGCCACCAGAGAATGGGCTGGCTCCTCAGTTAAGGTGCTTGGGGTGGTGCTTGTCCAACCCAGTCTACCCATGGCCACTGCAGCCTGGACTAAAGGTGGTGGCAGTTTTGCTCCATGGGTGATTTGAGTTTGCCCAAAGGGATGGTTCAGGTCACAGTCTTGCCTTACCCCACAGCCATGTGCAAAAGGGGGAGATACCAACTTCACAGGTTGGACCTCTCTCATTGTTCCCGTTGCAGCAATCCAAATAATTAGGTTTAGAAACAACAAAGTCACCAGTGGCCCTCTTATGTCCAGACGTGAGCTCTTTCAGGCCAAGCCTCCTGTTTCTGACAGTGTTTGTTCCCTGGTATAGCAGGATACCTGTAAAGCACCTGGGAAGCGTGTCCCGCTACACACGGGAGGCAGAAACCCTTCCCGACCCCTGAGGAGTCCATTCGTGCCCTGAAACATGAGACCTACTTTACAAGTGAGCCTGAAAATTCCCCCTGCAGGATGATCCGTAAATACGACTATTTGGGGAGGAAAAAGGCATTCTCTGCAACTCGTGGGAGCTTAGGCTGCTGTGAAGGTGAGCATTGTTATGGGACACATTATCCCCACCCAACAGCAGCATTTGACTCTTTTTTGCCCGAGGCAGAGAGTTGTAAAGGTCACGCTCATGCTGTGAGAGGAAACAGTTGATTATAAGTAAGATTTATCAGCTCTGGCTTCAACCACATTTCCTTGGCCTCATGTCCAGGGCATTCAGATAGGATTAGCAACCCTAGTTTCTGCTGTGTGAAAGACTGAGGTTCTCACTTTTGATTTTATTCTAGAGCAAACTGAGTCTGGTGAAAGGCAGACACCCAGGAAGAGCCAGGCAGCAGTGCTCAAGGGCTTCACCGGGCAGATGGAGAATCCAGGTTTAGATCCCTGCTTAGTCTGGTTCAAAACAGTGTCCGAGTCTGCTGCATCCCTGCTAACCACTCTCAAGACTGGCCTGCTGGCTACTCAGGGGTCCTGGGGTCTCCCTGCACTTCAGACCCATCCTCACCAGTTCAAAAGTTTCACCAAAAAAATCCCAGCCAGCCAACCAACCAACCACCTAGCCCAGCAGAATCGGGGGTTAAGCCTTCACTGGGCAATAGGAGACCCAAGACCTTTTTAGCAAGGTTTGAGGTGCTACCACCACTGTCCTACCTTCCAGCTGCTCTGCCTCTCTCAACCACCAAGCTGCAGCTCTGCCTCATGACAGACATGCCTCTTTCTGGTCTACGCCTCCCCAAAAGTTGCTCTGCTCCTTGCTGGCAAGCACCAGGCTCCACTCCAGAGACAACTGCACTTCAGAGACAGGGGAACCAACCTCAGTTTGTATAAAACTAAGAGCACAATGAAGAAGGTTTGTACATGTCCAGGCTCTGGGGAGAGGAGTAGGAAGGTACAAAGGACTCAAACCTCTCCAGCAAGCCTGAAATGAATACACGTGGCAGGAGGTGGCCACTCCTAGAGATTTCCAGGGGTTCACGTGGGAGACTCAGGTCCTGTCAGCTCTGCTGCATCTTCCCCTGCAATGAGAAAACTGCCATTACTTCTGTTTAACACTGATGCAAACAACTCCTGTCCAAGATGCACTAGTTCCTACTGGGTCTTATCTTGAGCTGTTCAGATCAGATTCAACATGGTGCCTTGGGCAGGCGCTTTGCCCCACAGCACCCAAGGGACCAACTGCTTGGGAACTCACTCCCAAAAGGACACCTGGCTACCTTGACCCCTTCACCTCCTCCCAGTGAGAAAGAAGCTGGTGCAGCCCGTCTTCTTTGAAATCATGCACAGCCCGTTCTGTTGCCACAAGGACCTGCAGCAAGGACCCCGTGTACTTGCAGATGCACTGCCCTGGACAAGAGGTGTCAATGGTCACAGGGATGGGAGGTAGGAGGGCAACAGCAGGAAGCCAGAGGATAGCTAAAGGAAGGTCCCTGTCAGTGGAGGTGATGCAGGGTGAGCCTGACTCAGGGATGAGTCACTGGGCTGCTAAGGAGACGTGTCATTCCCGGCTAGCATCCAGCTGGCTCAGAGGCACCAGCTCCATCCTCAGAGCTCACTCCTGCACCACCAGCACTGGCACTTCGTACCACCAGAGTTGCATTAAGCTAGATACCCTATGACATCCTTCACCCCTTCTGGGGGCATACTCTGAAGCCCTCAGAGACTGCCAGCAGCAGGCTGAGACATCCCACATCCCCACTGCTGCAATGGGCAAGGGACCAATGCAGCCAGGAAGCAAATCAGACATATACTAGCCAGCAGCAGGGACCAAAATATCCTCCTACCCCCCAGCAGCCTGGCATCCCCTAACCAGATTCAAAGGATCTGGCATTGGGAAGCTCTGCAGCTGCCATTGCCTTCCCTGCTCTGAGCCTCATCCAGTGCTTTGAGGGCTGGCTCAGTGTTGGACCCCTACTTGCTTTTTTAAACTGAAGGCATTTCCACCATAACCTGTAAAGCAATTTCCACCCCTGTAAAGCAATTCAGGGGGATTGCTGGCTGCTAGGTCCAGCAGGACAGAGCAAGCCCTAATGGGCTGCCCAAAGCCCTGGGTTCACAGAAGGAAGGATGTGGGCCTGGCTCTATGAATTTGACACTTAAACCTGGCTGCAGTCAATCCTCCGTGTTACATTTGAGCATCACAAAGGCTTTCACGGACTGACTCGCACCTCCTCCAGATGACAGGTAATATTAAAGTCTATCGCGCAGAGTGGGAAATTAAGATGGAGAGAAGTTAAGTGACATGAGCATGCAAATCAATGGCAGCGCTGAGGAGAGTCCCCAGGCCCGTCTGCTCTAGCCTCTACAATTTCTTCCAGCTCTGAGCAGGAGGGAGATCCTTGGAGTCCTCCCTCTCAGACCATTTCTGCCTTCCCCTTAGAGATAAAAGAAAATCCCCCTCTTCCAGGCTGTGGATGTGTCAGTTAAAGAGCAAGAGCAAGGAGGCAGTGAGGTTCTTGTTTTCCTTGCTAGTGGTTGATTTGAGGGCAGTGAAATGTTTGCTCTGTCAACACATCCTAATCCACAACCAAAACACTATTAAAATAGAGTGAAGGATGGGAATATGCTGCCCTTTACAACAAGGCTCACAGAAGCATACAGATTGACAGGGTCCTGAGCATGCATGCACCGCCCAGCACCATGGAGTCCCTGCTCCACCTGGTGCCTCTGCAGCTTTGAATGTACAACACAGCAGGGAATCCATCATGGGTAAAAGTTATACCATCTTACCTGAAGGCAAAAGGCAAGGCAAGGCAGCACCTTTGAGACCAACTGGTTCAGAAAAGCATGAGCTTTGGGAGGCAACAACCTACTTAGTCAGATGCTATGGAGTTTATCTGACATGACATAAATAAACCAGTGCAACTTCTGTGCGCAGAGCAGCCCTGACTCCGCACCAGCCCTCTGGAAACATTTAGTTACCATAATACCAACGATATTATTGCAAGTCTCATAATCCTTAATGCATTCCTCAAAACCCAACCTCCTGGAACCAGGGGATTGGGTAAGAAGCATCATTAAAAAAAAGTGAATCTAGACTTCTGGGTTGCACAGAAACATTCGGGAATAGGAAACCTTTGGGTCCCAGAGCAGCAGTTCCCAAACTAGGGACCCCAGAGACACTTGGCGGTCAGGTTTACATTGGGAGCAGGGTCACAAATCCAAAAGGGACTGTGGCCCAAAGGGCTCAAGCCAGGAAGTGAACAGAAAACCCAAGATGTATTTGGCAAATGTTATTTTAAGCCAATATCAGGATTTGGTGGGATGCCTGCAGATTGGCATCACTGAGGTGATTGTGAGCCCACTTGAAAACTGAACAGCAAATTTTGTATAGCCCCCACCATTTAGCATAGCATACCATTTAGCATAGCCCCCACCCATTTAATGACCTGGGGCCTAACTCTTGAGTGCTCAGCATTGGCAGCTCCTATGGATTTCACTTGTTGCAGTAGGTATTCGGCATTTCAAAAAATCAGGCCCTTAACATGTCCTAACACGGGATCAGAGCCGGGATTAGAGAGAAAGCTCTTATGCAACCTGACATATGGCGCGATAACAATCGCTCTATTCTGCAATGGGCACCCTGACCTGCAGAAAAGGGAGCGCGTGGGGAGTTCAGGATTCACGGAGAGCTCTGCAACAGAAATCCCTTTTAATCTCAGGTAACGAGTAGTAACATGGGACTACACAGGGATAATGCAGAGCATATGCCACTTGCTTACTGTAACAGTAAATCTGTTCTGTGAAGAACAGGATGGGAAATAGGAAAAAATAAATGCATATATATAATAGAAAAAATATAAAAATAGGGAAAAAATGTGTGTATGTGGGGGGTTTTTTTTCTTTTCTTCTATATATATCAGGGCAGTTCTGTGCAGTTTTTAATCCGACTGTGAAAATCACAGACTCGCCAGTTCAAGCTGGAAGAACAGGCAATTTCAAAGCCCCCTTTTGGCAGAAGCCTACCAATCTATTCAAAAGGAATGCAAGATTACAGCTCCAGGCCACTTCATTCTACCTACTCTTCACTATATAAAAGGAAAAAAGGCTCAAGGTGCCTTTCAACATGAGTTAAAACTATATCAACTAACCCCCAAAGCAGCAGCTGCAGCGATCACGGCACTTCCTACAGAACTAGTAGCATTAACGCTAGGCTTCAAGTCAATCCCAACTCATTATGCCCAGCTCGCATTCCCTACTGTTGTTCCAACTGGGAGCACAGACTTCTCTTCTCACCCTGCGTGGAGCCAGAGCATTATGTTCTATTCAGTAGCTTCCACCCCAGGGCAGACGTCGGGGGCTGCAGGTGCTAAGGTGCCCAATTGACAGCCCAGAGGTCACAAGTTTGAGGCCACAGCAGAAGCATTCATGGTGCGACCATGTCGGATTCCAACAAAACTGCAAATTCTGCTAAATACCTTGTCGCAAGGATGTGAAAAAGGAAAGGACCCCAGTGATGATGGCATTTTGGTATGTACGAATAATTTCATGTCAACACACAGGCTTTGCACTTGGACGGAGCCTTTTGTCACGGGAACCTGCAGTGTTGAGAGGCAGGTTTTTAAAAACATTTTAAAATAAACATTTGAATTAAGCCTCAGCATACCAACCACCCCTATTTTGGAGTGGGAAGACAAGGTGCAGAGAGGCTAAGGATTTAGCATAGGAACTTGCCCACTAGATTAGGGCAGCTTGATGTGCCCAGGAGATTTTGTGCATGAAAATAAGAAATGACCAGTGGCCCATATGTAACTCAAGATCTGTATCTTCTCCATATTATATATAAAGCAACCCCAGGTGCTCACAATGCCCTGCACAGCCCGTGGAGGAAGCTTACGATTCTGATTGCATGGGATGTGGGCCAATTTCTGTGCAACTTGCCCCACACTGGTTTTCCTGATGGGATGGAGGATCAAGGACAACAAGAAGTCCTTTTTTAAATACATAGGGGGCAAAAAGAAGGTACTGGGTAACGTGGGGCCTCTGCAAGACACGCTAGGAAATCTGGTGGTTGCACCAGATGACAAAGCTAACCTATTTAACAATTTCTTTGCCTCCATTTTCCTGAGCAGGGACCAGATCAGCCCGTCTGCCGGGACCCCCTCAGGCCCCAGAGGAGGCGCACCCAGGCCCAGGGTCAGTGAGGACCTAGTCAGGGAACTTCTGGAGGGACTGGACGTATTTAAATCAGCTGGTCCTGACGATCTCCACCCCAGAGTGCTGAGAGAAGGAGCAGAGGTCATTGCGGGACCCCTGGCACGGCTTTACGAGCACTCGTGGTGCTCTGGTGTGGTGCTGGAGGACAGGAAAAGGGCCAATGTGGTTCCCATGTTCAAAAAAGGGAGGAAGGAGGACCCAGGGAACTATAGGCCAGTTAGTCTTACCTCAATCCTGGGTAAGCAGGGAAGGTTATGCTTAGGGGCAACCAACACGGGTTCATTCGAGGCAGGTCCTGTCAGACCAACCTGGTGGCCTTCTATGACCAGGTCACAAAATCCTTAGATGCAGGGGTAGCTGTGGACGTAGACTTTCTGGACTTCAGGAAGGCCTTCGATACCGTCTCTCACCCTATTCTCATTAAAAAACTAGGGGACTGTGGTGTCGACACCTACACAGTCAATTGGGTCACTAACTGGCTGGAGGGTCGCACCCAGAGAGTGGTGGTGGACGGGTCCTACTCAACCTGGAGGGATGTGGGCAGCGGGGTCCCCCAGGGCTCAGTCCTCGGACCCGCACTGTTCAACATCTTCATCAGTGACTTGGACGAGGGGGTAAAAAGCACCCTGTTCAAATCTGACTAAGATGTGGGGGGATGTGGGCATGCTAGAAGGGAGGAATAGGCTGCAATCGGACCTAGACAGGTTACAAAGGTGAGTGGATGAGAACAGGATGGGTTGCACCCGGGGAGGAAGAACCAGCAGCAGACCTACAGGTGGGGAACTCCCTTCTCATCAGTGCAGAGGCAGGAAAGGATCTTGGAGTCATTATTGACGCCAAAATGAACATGGGGCAACAGTGTGAGGACGCAGTCAGGAAAGCCAACCACACCCTGTCATGCATCCACAGATGCATCTCGAGCAGGTCCAAGGAGGTGATCCTCCCCCTCTGCGCGGCACTGGTCAGGCCGCAGTTGGAGTACTGCGTCCAGTTTTGGGCGCTGCACTTCAGGAGGGATGTGGCCAATATGGAGAAGGTCCAGAGGAGGGTCACTCGCATGATCAGGGGCAGCAGGGCAGGCCCTACGAGGAGAGGCTATGGGACCTGAACCTGTTCAGCCTCCCCAAGAGAAGGCTGAGGGAGAGCTAGTGGCTGGTTACAAACTAGTCAGGGGGGGCCAGCAGGCATTGGGGGAGTCCCTGTTCCCCCGAGCACTACTGGGAGGGACTAGAAATAACGGTCACAAGCTGGCAGAGGGTAGATTCAGACTAGACATCAGGAGGCGCTACGTCACTGTCAGGGCGGCTAGGATCTGGAACCAACTTCCAAGCGAGGTGGTGCTGGCTCCTACCCTGGGGGTCTTTAAGAGGAGGCTGGATGAACACCTCGCTGGGGTCATTTGACCCCAGTACTTTTTCCTGCCATGGCAGGGGGTCGGACTTGATGACCTGCTCAGGTCCCTTCCGACCCTACCTACCAGATATGAAACTATGACCCAATACGACTGTTATTTGCATCAAGGCTTTCAGACCTGTCACGAAGGCGGCTGTTCAGCTTATGTTTGGATTGGCGGCCCCAGGAGAGGGCGGCGCTTTCTCTGGCATTACGAGGGAGACTGGTTGATCAGATGTTTCGTTTGGCTGCTTTTAGTCAACTTGGAGCAACTCCAGACACCGTCCAGGCAAACTCTGGTTTCTCCTCAAAAGGAATCTATGGAAGTAGGTCGTTGCCTACAAAAGGTCACTCCTCTGATCCAGGTAGTCTCTAGGAGGCTGCCCTGCTCTACCTTCTGCCTGATTTCAGACTAGCACAGATTACCACCTCTGCCCCTCTCTGCACCTGGCTAGTGCCCCGCAACAAGCCTCTACCACTGGCACATCCGACAGAACCTGGCACCGGGCTCCTTCCCGTGCTTCCTTTCACGTATGTGCCATAACAGGCACGATACAAAAACCTAGACAGTACGTGAAGCAGGGTGAGAAGGTGGTGGGAGCCACTTCCTTCAGTTGACAGCACTGACACTGTGCCTCCTCCCACAAACACACACACACACACACACACACAAAGCTGGTAGTTTCCATTTGTTTGCTCTTTAAATAATTGCTTCCTTATCGCTATTTATTCAGACCCCTTTAAAATTTCTGACAAACCTGCTTCTCAGGCACCACAACCTGTTTCCTTCTAACCCTCCTTTGTGAGCTGGGACCAAGCAAACGCCAGATCAGATAGCTGAGAACAGTCAGCTCACTGATGGGCCACGTGCTAACCCTGGTAGACAAGAGTGGTCGATAATGTCCCAGCTTCCCGCTCTCTTCCCTGCAACCTCACCAACACCCATAACACATCCATCACTGCTGGGGTAACTGTGCCAGGCACCCACAAATCTGACGGCCTGGAACAAAGAGGAGCCTTCTCCCACCTTGAGAAACCCCAATACAAGTGGATTTCTTACCAGAGCTACAGCAGACACTTCCTGTACCCTGTCTCCTTCCTGGCCAAGGAGATCAGATGTGGTCTCACTGCTTCCTTTCCTTGAAACACAGCCATTTTTGCTCCCCTCTGGCTGCACATCCCCAATTCTGTAACATCAGCTGTCGGGGGAAAAACAAAACGAAACAGTTACTTCCAGGACTGCATTTAGCAAACAGCCATCCTCCGTTTCTCGGCGTCTGTCAGACAAATGCTGCTCAATGCGCGGATTCTCCGGAGGAAAACCGACAATCTTGCTGGGCTCAGCACTTCTGCTTTAAAAATAAACTGAACACCTGTCTATTTATTTAACGCTCAGAGCCAGCACAGAGCTGGCAAGAAGGTGCTGGATTGAGCGCACTGGAAAAGGAAGGCCCTCCATTCACAAGCAAGCCTCGGCCTCTCCTCTAAGACGCTCGTAAACGGGTGTCAGGGCATAGTATAAAGAGGTAAAGACCTGCCCTGATGCAGATGCCTGCCTGCTTTGGGCTCCTTTAACTCTGAAGTCATCAGCCATCCATCAAGACAATATTTGCTGGTCTCTGGACTTGGTGACAATTGAAGCCATGGGTTTAGGAGTGAAAGAGAATGTCCTTACCTAGACACCAATCTCTCTCTCTCTCTCTTTCAAAATGAATAAGATAAAGTTGAAACCTAAGAGCCTTTACTTTAGCTATGCTGTTGGCTCCAGCAGTGTCCCTTAAATCGGAGCTGGAAGGACCAGCATCTTCTGCGGTCCAGGAATTCAGCTGCCACTGCTGCTCCCACTCCTCTTCTCTATCAAGATGCTTGTCAAAAGCTCGAAATATAGAAAGCCAGAGACTATGAGGCTGTAGCTTCAGGATACCAGGACCCTGGTTCTCGTTTTAAAGAACAAGAACCCCAGGATACTTCATAAACAGGCGTGAAAGCAGGACTAGAGGAACAGCACCTTGTTTCAAAAGAGAGACACCACTCGCCAGAAAAAGAGTCAACGGGAGGAAAAGAAAGTGAAGTGCTTGGACTGACGTTTGTGATGAGGTCTAACAGGATAGTGACTCCAAGACCTTGAGTTATGATGGGTCATGGACAGGGCAGGCAATGTCAGGAATAGCTTTTCAGCTGAATATGGTGCCATCTGCTTTTTGCTTGGTACTTTAAACTGGTATCCCCTTCCACCCCAGAGCTGGATGAAGCAGTGGGCACCTATCCAATGAACTTTAGGATCTACTAGCTGGAAAAGCATGAAGTTAACATAAGATTATTGTTGCCTAACACTCCCCTGTGCAAAGTCCAGGAAAGTTCCACACTTTATTATTAACCTTTTTTATTACAGTAGTGCCTAAAGGCCATACAAGAGCAGAGCTCCATTGCACCAGGCACTGTACAAACACAGAGAAGTAGATGGCATGTGCTGTGAAGCACGTATAATCAAGAGACAGGCAGGGTGGGGGAGATGTGGGACTCGGTGAGATGGTGGCAGATGGCATCTTACCACTGTGGTTTTTTGGTGGGTTTAGTAAAAAGGCAAAGAAACGGGGAGCGAAGGGCGGTAAGGGCTTGGGCAGGGGAGAAGGGGGTAAGAGGGGCTGGTATGCACCAAATCTAGGAGGAAGGGACTAAATGGGGAGCAGGCTGGAGCAAAGAGCCAATTGGCACAGGGCAGAAGTCAGAACAGTGGGGAGTTTGACACAGCCAATGGCCCTTGCACTGGCTGCTGGGCAGCTGCTCCAACCATCTGGCATCTCTTGCTGGCAATCTTTTGTGCCCCCCCCACAAAGCAGGAGAGACACCACTTAGGTGCTAGAGGCCCTGGCATGGGGCAAGGTCTTGTACCATCAAATCTGAGGCTAACCAAGTTGCACGATTTCTTACCATTGCCCCGAGCGGCGGTTCCACTGGAGCGTAAACACGGCTCATGCATCAAAGAGTACTGCAGGCCCTGGGGTCTCCCCACCAGCCCGATGCTTAGATAGCCACTTTCCAATTACTAGTATTAACCAGTCCCCATTTAAAAAGCATATTTTTTTTTTCTTTCAATATTCCAGTTTGACGTCACGGCTCAGCCTGCAGCTGTCAGACTTATTGAGGAAACTTGGCCACAGTAAACAGAGGGGAAGGAAAGTGGGGAAGATTAGATAACAAGGAAACTTTTATTGTGGCAGACATCGTGCCTGCAGAAAGTCCCAGCTTTTAGCAGGTACGAGCCCAAGCGACCAGTACACAGCCCTTCTGAGTCAGGGCTCTTGCTTCCCAGCACCAGACAGCATCCTGTTCCCAAACAGCTCCTTGCAAGGGAAGGGAGTGTCCCGATAACATTTGGGAGGTTCCCCAAAGTGAGCCCTTCTTTGCCAGCTGGTTTATTCAAGTCCTGCTTCTCCTGGTCTTTCACCTGACTCAAAAGTTGTTGAGGTACTCTCAGGTCAGCTCTGGCGGTGCAGGTGTCATCAGGAGCACAGATCAACATCCTTGCTTTAGACCAGGCGATGCAGAAGGCAGCATATGCAAGGTTCAAGCCTGGTGGGCGCTGGCAGCTTTCATACTCCCGCTCCCTTCCGACAGATAGTGCACTGTGGGGAGAAAGGGGCTTGCTGGCAGGTAGGAGGGATGGACGGCTTCATCTCTGCTGGCTGAATCTTTGTTACGAGATTCAGGACAGTTTACAGTGGATCCTGTTGAAGGCTCCTGGGTTCAACTAGCTATCAGGGTTAACAGGCACATGGGCAACACAACAGACCAATGCCCAGTGCGATAGGCTGGACTGCTCTCACGCCCTCTCCATTTCACAGCAAGTCTCTGGAGAGCCAGTGGGTGTTGCCTTGAAGTTCCAGCTTCTGGAGTCCCATAATAACATGACTCTCTGCTTCCATGTACAAAGGTGGGGGGGAAGGAGTGGGCGCCCGCCCCCGAGTTACTACCCCTTGGGCTTGCAGAGGAAAGCTGAGCAAATCCTGACCTCTGCAGCCTCCAAAACCAGAAGATCAGAGAAGGCAGTGGCCACCACCTGGGTTGAAATCTCATCCGTTTTAAAACAGGGAAGGATGATTTGTGATTTCTGTACAGTTGGGGTAACAGCACGAAGCAAAAATTGCAAGTGAACAGATCCTTCAGGAAGGTTGAGGGGGAGGTGGGACTGCTGCTGACCTGCCATAGTGGGTGGTTAAAGGCAGATGCAATGGAAGCTGAGTCCTCTTAAAACATTTCTGAGTTCCCTCTCCCTCTGCGAGAGCTTCTGAGACCTCTGAAGAGCAATCCTCCTTCTGGAGAAAGCTTAAAAGGCAATAGGTCCTCAGGATTTATTGGCACTGGCAATAGAAAGGGCTACCCCAGCTCCCTCCTGCCTTGCACCATAAGACTCCTGCTGCCCTGGCAGGTGACTTGTAACAAGAGCTGAGAAGTTGCCCTGCTCTCTCACTGTTGCATGGCTCAGGCACTTAGTGAGCTTTACATGCTCTTCCAGCACTTCATAAACACACGTGGCAGCATGACTAGAGGAGCAGAAGCTTGTTTTTAAAGAGACCACATGCATGCACCCCCTTCTAGGATCACTCTCCAACCTGGGGGCAGCCCCTGCTCAACAAGTCTCCTGCCCCACCTAAGACGCATCTATTTTAATAGACATCATGGGCACAAAATCCATTGATACAGCACTAGATCATGATGCAGGACAAATCCTAAGGGAGGATCTAGCACACGTCAGGCTGGGTGGCAGCACCGAGAACTGGAGCTTTGAGTGAGCATGAAGGACACAGAGCAAAAGCTGCTAGGATTCAGGATCTGTTGGAAATCCACTGGCAGCTTTGGGCCAGCTCACAACCAACTAGGCGTTTTGAAATATAATGGATGAGTGCATCCATTGATCTCCATCCTCCCTCAGGCAAGCTGGACTGTGCAGGAAATTGGTAAGCAGGTAGGGCCATCAGCCAGGTGTTGTCTGCAGTAAGAAGGGCCAGGCTCAAATATCTAGGGGTTCCTTTAACAATATGCTCAAACCCCTGCCTAGAAACCTGGCAAACCTTGACTACCTCCCCTGGGCACCCTCCATCGTTGAGACTTCACACTCACAACACCAATTCCATTGTGTGAAACAAAGAAAATTGGATTGGGAGGGAAAGGTGACAAGGAAAGCTAGTAATAATTAATCCACAATATCTATTAAGACTCCCACCCCCAGGGTGCCTTGGCAATAGCCTTCAACTCAGGCTTCCGCTTGCAGCGCAGGCATCCAACAAGGTAATGTGTCCCTGCAGTAGCCAATTCCCTCCTCACCATCCGCAACCTCACTCTCTGCCCTCCGGGCTTTACACATCCACCTCCGCCCCTAATGAGGAAGGGCAGGATGCTCAGCTCCAAGGGCTCTACCATAGGGTTCACATGCAATGATAGCCATGTGGATTGCTCAGCTCTTCAGTTGCCCTCTAAACCTCCCCAAAAAGCCACCTTGGAGTGCATTCACCTGCCCTGAACAGTTATGCCCAGCTAGGATGCTTCTCACAAAAGCAGGAACCTCCTTCATGCCTCCTCTTTTTGGCTTTCTTCAGGTTCTGCACCCACCCACACAGGACAGCTTTGCAAGGGTGACCCTCATCCCACGTTCCCCAGGCACCGTCTTGGACCTTTTTAGTACCAGCACTGCTTTATTACCTTCAAGTCTGACCCAAGTGCTCCCCCCTGACAAACAAACCCGTCCAGGTGCCCCGTTCCATGGTCACCTCCCCTTGCTCCCCACCGAGGCCAGCAGACAGACAGCTTCCTCTCCTGTGCAGCGTGAGGTCACCCGTGTGCCCCCCGCTCCTCTCCCCGCCACCACATTTGTCCATAGAAGTTGCCAACTCTTGGGGCACAGGGCTCAAAACAAAAGCTGACATCTTATCACTATGGAAAAACAAACCCTGACACGTAGCAGAGCCAATTGGACAGTATCTTCCAGGGCCCGAGCCTTTTCGGCTCTAGCTGAGAAATGCCTTCAGCTCCCTCTACCGGCTGTTCTACCGTGCTGTGGATGGCTCAGCCGTGAGCACCTGTTAGGCAGAAGCTGGCCAGAAGAGCAGACAGAGGTGAAACCTCTTTCCCCTTGGTTCCTATGGATTTTTATTTGCTATCCTCCTCCCATTTCACCTTTTGTATTCAAATCACTCACTCCACTTCATACACTGCTCTGCGCTCATGTTCACACAAGCTTGTGCTCTCTATAGCTTTCATTCAGCTAGTCTATAATGAGGTACATATCCATCTTGCTCTCT